ATGAAAATGAAAAACAAAAAGTCTAATAAAACTTTTTTTTAGGCGGTTTTTGGAAGATGTTTCAGGTAAAGACGACGTTCCACACGTACTTCTAGGAATTACCTCAATGGTTTTATATGCCCCCTGAAAAGAATCTATATCAATTATATATTTTTGGGATGCATATAACATATTTGTTTGTTTTTAAATTATTTTCACTAATTTCTGTGGATGGAGTAGAACACAATTTTATTAACAAATAAGGAAATATTGGTTCAAATTAAATGAATTTTACATGCATTTCAGTAAGAAAATCTACAAAATTGTTTATTCTAGAGATAAGTCTTAATTTTTTTTTTTTGTTTTTTGTTTTTTGTTTTCTTTTTGTTTATGAGAATGTGCTTTTGTACTAATTTCTTCTTTTTGTTTTTTATGTTTTTTTTTATTTATTTTTTTTTTATTTATTTTTTTTATTTTTTGTTATTTTTATTATTTCATGTATTTAATTTAATTTATTTATTTATTAATTTACTTATTTACTTTTATCCTTCTTTTTATTATTTGTGAAAGGAATAACAGTAAAATGCTTTTATTTTAAGGTACTGAAACACATGACATTATGCACATTATATACACAATAAAATCAAAAATCACATAAACAAATGTAGATAAAATGAAATTGTCGTTCGAGAAATCCCGAGAATCATAGATTATCCGACCCAATTAGATACTGATATAGTTTGTGCAAATAGACGAATCATTTAAAAATATGGGAACCATTACAGACACCGCCATTACCACTCTCACACGCGTATTGCCTGAGATATGATGCAACCTTTGGATGTATCAAGTAAGCACCGTCATATAAGCAAATACCGCAATTCTATGTAACAATAAAAATTAGTAGAGAATCAAAAAGTTATAAAAAAATAAACACTTTTAATTAAATTTTCACTTACGTTACATATATAAAAGAATTCCTTGGTCTTTAATAGATGTTGATTAATTTCATCGACTTTTATCGGTTTGCCACGACAAGTTTTTTTCGTGCTAAGAATTTGCTCATCTATATAAGCTGAAAACATAAAAGAAGAAAACGGAAAAGATTAGTAAAAAATCGCATGAAGACTTTAAGCGAACATCGAACGAGCATCGAACTAATGCATAGTCTATCACATAGTATTTTATTTTTAACTTTAAAAAAAAAAAAAAAAACAATATTAATGAAATGTTGTGTTATTTATAATTAATACCATTGTCAATAATAGCTACAGTTCATCATTAACTGATGAAAATATTTTAAAAATGGTCTAATCTTCTGCAGGATTGTTATCCCTATAAGGAATTATTAAGAAAAAAACAAAAATAATTTATTAGTCCACAATGCTGGCGCCGCCACTACATTTATTTGGCACAACCTAATTGAAATGAGGACTTCATTGTTTCTTATTGTTAGACTTTCAATCGATTCAAAAGCAGTTCACCATCCCCCAGCTTATTTTTGAGTTTAAAAAGTTTTTTGTGATAATGCGAGAAATTAATTTCTCTCAAAATCAGCCGATACATAATGAACAGACCCAGCCTACGAAACACCGAAGCAAATACTCTAAATTTCAAGTATTAGTTTCGAAGCACGAACTTTTCACTTTTGTCAATCTTTTCATCCTTCGTAGCCGTTGACATAAAAATCGACCAGAACAGAATGCCTTGAGTGCAATTGTAAGGACTAAAAAAAAAATAAAAAAAAAACTGTATCGGTTTATGTGGTGTTGTTATTACTGTGTACTTTTCTGTGTTAAAAAATCACACGATTCTCAGTGAGAGCGACGAAACGAGAGCAAATTAAATTGCAGACTGTGTTAACACTTACGGAGGAGAGAAGGAATTAACTTATTTCCCATAAATAAGTGCGCGATATTCGAAAGCAAAGTAGACCGAAGATGTATGTATGCCTTCGGTATATTAGTTACACGTATGTTGTCGCAGGATATGTAATAGTCAGCTATCTGGCAACTGTGTGCGGGCCAATGGACCTGGTTAGCAAATTTTTGAGTTTCATCTGACGACAAATACTTGCCGGCCGCTTCAATTTACAAATATCGTTTACGTACACCTTTAAAATGGTGGAATCGGGTTATTACGTGCACTGGATTTCCAGTACATCCAGTTTGAAAATTTTGCCAAAATCCGCGAATTTGCGAATTCAGTTCAAATGGCAAAAATGCTAAATGGCAAAACTAAATGGACTAGACAGTTTTTGCCGCTATGTATAAGTATGATATGGCAAAAGATGAGTTATGGGTGATGAAAGGAGTATATCAACGTCATGATAAAGCATAAAACATAATATCATAAACACATGCTTTGCTTACATAAATTCCAAGATCTCTTGAGGAACTCATGGTTTATTTTCGTTGATTCGTTTATGCCTTTTAAATTGTCCATGTAGCCATCACGCATAGTATGGATTTGAGAACGTGTCGCCAATAAGAAATCTTTACAATTACATTTCACGCAACGGCTGTGCACATCTTTCTCATCAATTTGTATGTTCAAGTGTTGCAACAGATGAATGGTCTGGTTTTCCGTTGTGTCTGATGGTATTTGCAAGCATTGATTCTCCGGAACTTCACGACAAAATAACAGAAAACGAGAATCACGAGTTAATACGAAACGTTTTTCTCGTTTGGCCAATTCAATGCATTTATCTAGATCACTATAACTGAATATTTGATAACAATCCAAACCCATTTTACGCAATTCTTTTGTCAGTCCAACTAGCATTGAGTCACAAATAAATTTCACGTTTGAGTTTCTAAAAATATAATAATAATATCATCATCGTTTTTTCTTTTTTTTTTTTTTGTTGCTTACAATTTTTAATTTACCTTAAATATTTAAAATCTAATACTTTATCCAGTTCGTTTGCATTTTTTCGATATTGTTGTTTGCAAATCTCATTTGAGTGTGCTGTCGACTTTATGCGAAACAAGTAACCGCTCTTCGATGTGGTAATTTCCTCTACTATGGTATCAATATCAATATGCAAACGTAATAATAATTCAGAGATAACCTGATAAATTAGTATCAAACAATGAGCATCTAATGCAGCATATATAAGTTGATCACGTCTTAATGGGCGATTAGCCCAATTTGAACATTGATTCGATTTATCGAGTTTTTTACCCAAACAGAGTTCGGTCAACACACTCAAACTTTCGCCACCCAACGTTTGTTGATCATAGGGAAACTTAATGATTGGCATGTATTTAAGGCGATGCCATAAATCCCGCATATCCAGATAACACGATGTGGCTTGTAAATTCAATTGCAACGGCAGGGTTTTGTGTAGCATGCGTATATCTTGGTCTAAAGAAAAACCAATTTTCAAAATTTCCAAATTATTGAAAATCTTAGAGCCCAACAATTTCCAAAGACGGTCATCTAATTGAGCTGAAAGACAGTCTACGAGAAAAACTTTTTCCGCCGTTGATAATTGCAAAAGAGATACAATATTATCATTACAAACAGATGGCTTCCATTCGGAGTCGAACGCAATTAAAACATATTGTTCCAAATATTTTAACATTTCCAGGAACTTTGGTTTACTATCGATAAGTATTACACAGTCAAGCGATAGCTGCAAACCTAAATATTCTTCTTTGTCCACTGCAAGACAAGAAGCACCTTCAATTTTCTCATTTTCTTTAAGTGCGGAATAATCTGCCCAATCGTCAATTAAATTTTGTTTCTCATCGCCCGTATCCATAGGAAAGTTTCGCATTTTCAATTGTATCGGTAAAGGGCAATCTTCAATGGGTACGTTATATAATTGCACCCAAAACATAGCCTCATTTTTATCATATTGCGTTATTTTTGTTATAAGATCCAATTGAAGGGATTTACTTTTATTAGCTTCATCGCGGGCTAACTCACGCCATGAATCAAAGCTCATTCCGCCCTCCTGATATTTGCGATATAGGTAGTGAAGATATGAACTAGATTTCGAATACCTTAGATTTGGTGTATGTTCAATGTCGATATTAAACTTTTTCGACAATCTAGTTACTAATTTTGACATGGGACGGTAAAGCAGTATATTTTGTTTTATATCTATGTAATTATATTTCCTGTAAGAAGTTAATATAAAGAATAGTTAATATCAATATTATGTAGGATCGACTTACTTTAATATTTCCTCGCAATGCTCATAAACAGTCTTTTTCTTGTCCAATAGTGAGTCCAAAAATTGCACTGTCGGCAATTGTTGATATTTGGCATTCATTAGAAACTCCTCGGCCAACGAAATTCGATCCTGCAGTATCAGCGGAAATACCAAATCGAACAGACCGAATATATGAGTAACATTTAATAGGGTCGACCAATAAGCAGCCTAAAAACCAAGTCAGTTGTAAACTAAGTAATAAGTTATTTACATTTTAGAGCAAAATTTCATAAAAATCAACTAAGGTGTAACATTTTGCATATAAGTTTACAAAATAGAATACATATTCTCATACATACATCTTTAAAATGCCCAGTTGTCAGTAATTCTCTTAGTTTTGGTTTTAAGAGTTCAGTTATTTTATGAAGTTCATATGTTTTTATCACAGCTTTGTACAGTGGTAATATGCCGCATGTCTTAATAAAATTAAAGGCGACCATACGTGTATTGTGATCACAATTTGAAGCGATGACTGGATATTGATTATACAATTCACAAACGGATTCAAGAACTGTATTATGGAAGAACCACTTGTTTAAGCAACATTTCTGTAAAAAAAGCAAGTTCAACATTTCACTCACTGAAAAGAGCCAGATTTTTGTTCTTCAAATAAGTGCAACCCGGACAAGATGCGAACAATTTTAATGCCAGTATCAATGGCTGAGGATCTTTCATTAGCAACGCTTTCATTTGCTGTTTTGTAGTTGGGGTTTGTTTGTCTATTTAAATAAAATAAAAAATATATATATGAAAAACATTTTCTCTCTAAAGTGTCGATCAAATATGCTGTATACATATTTACATACACTTACATGTGTTATATCTTTCTTTAAATTGTTCAAACCAAACACGTACTTCTTCATTTAGCTCACCATCGAAATTCTGACCGTCAAGTCCAGCTCCAGTAGTGATATCAGGAACTACTGTAATTTTTAAATTCTTCGCCGTACGGACAAGAGAATCCACATAATAATCATCATCGTCAGTCAGATTTTCATCATCCCATCCGGCTGGCAACCACCCTTTCATGTTCAATTCTAAAATATATATATATATATTTAATTTTTACTCGGTTATATGCGTATCTTTGTTTATAACGATAACGCTAATAAAGTTATTTTTAATTAAAATATCCGACAGAAAAATTTTATTCCTTTTTCTGGAGGAATATATCACAGCAATATTGCCAAAAGGCAAAATTTGACACACGATTTGACAATGTGATTACCACAAATAGGAATTATTACGTTACATATTGCAATATATGTATAGGAATCTCCATATTGATGCACATATCGTAATCAAGCTAAACGATATTAAATCTTCCCAAAAAAAAAACGCAAAGCCTGCACTAATTCAGTTACAAAAGTTGGCTTTCCATGGAAAACAGGAAGAAGAGAACAATTATATAAAGCGACCAAAGAATTTTTTTTATTTTCCTTCTTGAGTAATATAATACAAACAATAAAAAGCGAAAATTTAGATACCTCTAAGTAATAAAAAAAAGGAACAACTATCTAGAATTTGAACAAATTTAATGGGATCTACATCAAACGCTGAACATAATAACTAGGCGGTAACTGAATGTTAGCTTTCACTTCCGCATTCGAAACGAAACTTAAACTTTTCACACACGAATACCCGAAGCTGCTTGGTTTGCATATTGTAACGAAGCGATTTTTGGCGAACTTATACTTTTCGTTTGCTTCACCACTGACAGACAAGAAAGTGATGTATATATGAGAAGAAAACATTTTAGGCCTCGAAATAATTATTTGCATATTTATTAAAGAAATAGGAGAGAAAATTAAATTAAAGTATACTGTAATACACTTTTCTTGCATTTTTTCTTTTTCATAAATATATAAACGATTGCTTAAAAATCAAACTGTCCTTCAAACATGAACCATATGATTTAGCGCTTTTTTTTTTTCTAAATACATCGCTGTTTTATCTGTCAAAACTAAGAAAAATGTTCAAAAATTTTAATAAATTTTTATGTTTACGTGCATCACCACTCAACCTACATGTTCACTGAAATTTAAACCAATTTTATTTTGATAGTTCGCAGCGCAAGCATTGTCTTTTCCGCTTTAAGCGCGACACACTATGCTGAAGAAATCATACATACATACAGCTTGTATGTATTGCTAAAGCAAAATCGTATGGTTACCTTTTGTGTACACACGAGGCGGTGACATTATGTGCTATTCGGAGTTTTGAAGACACAGTATTTTCTCTACAGTACAACCTAACCGGACTTTACCTTGGGATTCTACTAGCACAAGGCAAGAAAACTTTCAATAGTAGATTATCCCCGGGAAGAAGAACAATCGAAAAGGCAATATCGGTGCTGCTCGTCGTAGATTGGTCTGAAGTCCCATTTTCAAGAATACCGAGAACGATGCAGCAGCAAAAGTTTGCATAATGCGTAATGCAAGGCAAGCTACAAACTCAGCTATATTCAAACACACACAATTAAATTTATTTTGACACAAGCATTGTGTTGAACACTTTACTTGATTTGGTTCAACAGCAGCACATTCTTATTAGCATATATTTTACAATACAGTAATGAACTCAATGCATACGTTATGAGTTTGAAAGACCAAATATCTAAACAAGCAAACAGTTGTGATTAACAATATTTTCAAAATGATATACTTTGCGTAAACTTTATTCTTCAGACATTTTATTGTATTATCAAGCATTTTTTAGATCATAAGGCTTCTAGGGAGTCTTTATGCATTTTCTAATAACAGTTGTAAAGACGTGTATTTCAAAAAATTTTAGAACATTTTAGAGTCAGAATACTACTGAACAATACTTTGCAATGTAAATACGATATTGAAACTAGTTTCACTTTATATTAATATGTATTATTCTTCAATATTCAATTTTAACTTCAAAGCGGATGACAATAGGAATTTGTTATGACATTTTTTTTTTAGTATTCTAAGTGTTTTTAGTGTTCTCTTATTGTGTTTGTCAATAAGGTTCTGTAATTTAATATGCGAGCGTTTTCACTGCAAAAAGACAGAAAATAAAGACCTCTTGAGACTCCGCTCTACCTTCGTTTAGTACTAGGCGCCATGAACTCCACTCATACCCTAAGTTTGGAACAAATGGAAAATGTTATGCCTTTGCCTAAAAAGTTTCGTTTAACCGCTCTATCTTCTCTCCATAATTTTCTACCAATCAACTTTTCTCATTCATTTTTCCAAATTTTTGTTCAGTAGCGGAATAATTTCAATATTCTGAAATTCGGCAAACACGTTTTATTCAAAAGTCCTTATTAATTTTACATTTCTCAACCTGTAATTGAACTTCTAACTGCAGAAAAATCTGCAATTACGGCATAAGAAGCACAATCCTGCTACTTACATATAGTTAGTACCAAATGGAATCATTTCTCTTACATAATCACAAGCGGATCCAAATCTGCCGTCGTCGTCAGTGGTCCTCCAACATTGAAATTGAGGGATGCTTTTCGAACGACCTTAACAAATCCATTTTCGCAATCTAGTGCCTTGAAATTTTGCAATCGTCCTCCATAAGTGGAATTCATCCATATATACTAGAAATTAGATCGTTAGCCTTATTGCTGACAAAATTGCATCTTTCAAATCAGTGCATACCAGTAATCGACCTTTAATTTCATCCGACATAGAAGCGTTTGACAAACAGTAAGAAATTCGTAGCAGCGATTGAGCGCCTCATACTTGGAACACTTGGTCGTCGTTTATATTCTCTAGCTTCGCATATACGTTAGACCGTGGTTCGCTATTTTCAATCTTAGTCGTAAATTTATGGATAGATAAATATATAATCACACCAGGTGTGGCGACAATTCATACAAAATCAATACAATTGCGTCCCCTTATGTACAAGTGGCGATCATCTTCTCATTCACACCATGATTAGGATATTATGCTCGTTCGGCCTTCCCATCGTCACCGTCTTGGACATACTTCGCTCTCAAAATCTAGCGGCTTACCTAGTAGTCTTTGCTTTTTCAACGCATACAACTTAAATATATAAAATCTAACTGTCAAGTTTGGGATATATTTTTCACACTGCCAATCATTTTTATTCGCTGAAGACATTTATTTCCCATCACCCTTTTCACTATTCTATCTAAACACACAATTAAAAAAAAAAAAAAAGGAATAATATCCTCTTAAAGTGAGTGCAAAATTTTGTAAAAAGAAAAATAAATAAAAATATATACAATGGCCGACGCAGTATGCGGTGTGCACAGAAAAAAAGGCCAAATGGGAGAAAAAAAGTAAATAAACAAACAAAGCAAATATAAAATCTAGAAAAGAAATCTGGTGAAAAAATCAAAAATTCAATAAAGCAACGCTTATTAAAGTGATTATATCAATATTTATTTCAATTGTCAAATTCTTTTTTTCTTAATCTTAATAACTTTTATATCTATGGTGTGCTGTGATTTGTTCTTAAGTTCTTTACTTCGTGCGTTGCACTCCATATGTGCATGAAAAAATTCCTCGGCTGCAAGGGGACCCGCGAGAAAACTTGTCCGACACTTTGCCCGACTCTTTAGACATTCTCAAGCGCTATATGCGACATTAAAGCTTAGCTCATGTATCATGAATGAATTTGACGACTTTTGCATACTCCCTAGTTTTATAATGGGTACTAATAATTTTTACACAAAAACTTGAGCCAGTTAGGGCTCTCAAAGGTGAGCCTAACAATATGATGTCGTTCAGTTGATAGATTATTCGAGACCAAACAATTCCTTTCTGTGGTAAATATATTAAACTGGTTCTTATCTCTTTTGTAATCTTGTAGTAAAATCAAAATATTGACCGATTATTCTAAAAATTAGATTCCGAAATAATTCGTTTATGCAAACAAAACTATTTAAGGATCGAATGTGTGGGTTTGTTTTTGGGATTTGCTTATTTTTATTTCAAGCTCAAAAGTGTTTTCATAACCTTCACTAAAATGAAGGTGTCCTGGACGGAATATTATAGCTCACATGTTATTAGCCGTCAACAATTTATTAAAATAAGAAATATCTCCCAGTGCACCTATGGTTGACTATATTGTTAATCTCTTATAAGTCCTCTCTCATTATTTTCGCTGCTCTTGAGAAAAGAAACAAATTCTGAGAGCAAAAAATATTGCAAGCGCACTCACACGTTCCTATTTACGCAGTAATACATAAAATATTCAATAAAGCTATAGCTTGCTTACACTTTTGATTTTCAAAAAGTCGATAAACAAAATGATATTCTTAAGAGTTTGGTCCACAAAATGTCGGATGCATCACTAATTCATTTAAAGGTCACAGATTTAATCGCATACTCACGTGTTCCTTGCTTATGCACTCAGTAATTAAAACGAAATTGAAAATGTCAATAATATATTTTATTTTTCATTTACTTCTTGTTCCATCTTCTTTCTTTTTGTTGTATTTTTCTTCGACAAGTTGCGCTATTCTAATGTCAGCTAACTACGAAAATAAATTGTCAACTTTACTAATGTCCACATGTTTACCTGCCGCACTGTGCCTTTTTTCATAATACGACAAATCAGCTGTTGTTGACTTGCTGAATATTCAAGAAGATAGATAACCTTTTGCTTTATACGTGCTACTTTTCAGTAGATAATCGCATAGCTGAATGTCAACTTTCGCCTTTGTATCACTCTTTTTTTTTATACTTGATGAGTAGTTAAAGAGGGGAAAAGATTTAAATTTTTGTATTCCGCAGCTAAAAAGAAGTATTTACACTTGGCAACACTAAGTGAGAAAAGAAAATAGGGAAGAAAAATATTTTTGTAAAAGACGCGTTTTTGTGTTTGTAGAATTTTTACACTATTGATAAAGAATATAATTGTAAAGTTTAGCATAAAAAAAGGGAAAGTCGGATTATCCGGACGTATATGCTTTGATAAGACAATTTCGGAAAAATGCCCGCTGTTGAGAATGGTAAGAAAAATATAAAAATTGTGAAAAAAAGTAAATATCCATAATTACGATTAACCTTAAGTGAGGTTAATTGCTATAATACTTTTAGTGTCTGCTATATAAAATATTCATTTTTTTTATTTTTTCAAGGAGCAGTGGGTTATGAAGATGAGTTACGAAAAGACAAGTCTCAAAACCAAGAGCCGCTAATCCCATCTTTAGAAGAAAAGACATTAAAAAGTCGCCATCGCAGTCGATCGGTATCACCAGGAAATGTTTCAGCTGAGCTCCGTCACAGTAAATCTCGATCTAGATCCGGTTCACGTTCTTCCGAAGGCGAACCGCCATCGCCACATGCAGAGAAAGAAAAACAAAGATTCCGATCGCGTTCTAGATCAGTGTCGCTTGATAGTGATGGGAGAATAAAAGAGCGCAATGAAAGTCCACGATCGGATTCTAGATCACCATCCCGCAGCTCTAACATATCGTCTGAGAAACCGGGACTGTCAAAGGAAACGAAGCTGCCGTCGAGGTCAAGATCGCGGAGTTCATCTCGATCAAGTTCAGAAAGCTCTAGAGGACAGCGCGAATTATCGAAATCACGATCTAGATCGCGATCACACAGTTCAAATGCTAGATCAATTTCACCAAATGTCTTAACGAATCAACAGGAAAAAACCAATTCACGCAGCCTCAACGACGAACCATATACCCCCATTTTGTCTACAAAAGAGAAATCTGATTCGGTTAATATATCACTTGACGAAGATGCAGGATTAAAAGCCCGCCGTCGCAGTCGTAGTCCTAGTCAGTGTTCTCTGGGATTTAATAAGGACGACGAACCAAAACGGAAAAGCCGCAGTCGCAGCAAGGAACACACACGTGGCACCCCGAGATCGCGGAGCTGTAGTAAGTCTCCCTCGGGCATCCCATCTCCCAGCGGAAAGACGCCGAATGATAGTGTCGCACGCAGTCGTTCCGGTTCAAGACGGTCCCGCAGTGGCTCTAAACGGAACAACTCCCGTAGTCGCTCCCGATCAATATCTCCACTTTCTAGACCTGCTTCAAGACATCGCTCTCGTTCTTACTCAAAGTCTGCATCCCGTTCAAGATCGCGAAGCAGTCGTAATCGTTCACGTAGTGGATCAAAACACTCGCGTAGCGCTTCTAAGCTATCAAGAAGCTCCAGGCGCTCATATAGTGGCTCTAGACATTCACGTAGCGGTTCTGAACGATCAAGAAGTGGTTCAAGGCGCTCGTATAGTGGATCAAGCGATTCAAGACACTCGAGAAGCGGTTCAAGGCGCTCAAGGAGTGGTTCAAGACGCTCACGGAGCGGTTCAAGACGCTCAAGGAGCGGTTCGAGGCGTTCAAGAAGCGGTTCAAAACGCTCACGGAGTGGTTCAAGACGCTCAAGGAGCGGTTCGAGGCGTTCAAGAAGCGGTTCAAGACGCTCACGGAGTGGTTCAAGACGCTCAAGGAGCGGTTCGAGGCGTTCAAGAAGCGGTTCGAGGCGTTCAAGAAGCGGTTCAAGACGTTCAAGGAGCGGTTCAAGACGCTCAAAGAGCGGCTCAAGACACTCAAGAAGCGGCTCTCGACGATCACGAGCTAGTGGTAGTGCTTCACGATCTCGTTCACGAAATAGTTCTCGCAAATCAAGATCAAGATCAGTGCGTTCACATTCTAAATCAGCTGACAGTCGTTCGGGATCCTTAGCTCGATCAGGCTCTCGACGCTCAAGGTCGCATTCCCGCAGTCGTTCTAAATCACACCATAGCTCAATATCACCAACGTCTAAAGGCCAAAAAGGTCATAAACGTAACATTTTAAGCGACTCTGAGGGTGAGACATGTCTGCAAATTATTTGCAAGAATTCGTATTGCTTAAATTATTATTTTATATATAGGTGAAGATGGACCGTCATCAGCACAAAAGAAACGACCGAAAATAACTGATACCGATAACGAAGATGAGGCTGATAAAAGTGAACATGAAATTGTGGAAGAAGGCGGAGCTCAAGCGGCTAGTAAGAACATCGGTGATAGCTCAGATGATGAAAATCTACCTATAGATAATGATAGAGAGTAAGAATCCGAATTAGAATAGAAGAACAATGAAAGTTTAATTTAAATTTATTCAAATCTAGACCTGATAACTTCATTTCGGACTTCGATGCCATGTTACTGCGTAAAAAAGAAGAGAAACGTATAAGAAGACGTAAACGTGATATTGATTTAATTAACGATAATGACGATCTTATCGATCAACTAATAATGAATATGAAAAACGCCTCAGATGAGGATCGTCAATTGAACGTGGAAGGAAAGCCAGCCACAAAAAAAATCTCTATGCTCAAACAAGTTATGTCCCAACTAATTAAAAAGGATTTGCAATTGGCTTTTCTCGAACATAATATATTGAACGTTTTGACCGATTGGTTGGCGCCATTGCCTAATAAGAGTCTACCTTGCCTACAGATTAGAGAAAGCATCTTAAAACTTTTATCAGATGTAAGTTTACAATTTAAGTTAAGAGTAAACAATCCGATATTTTATAATTTAACAAATTTCGCTAAATTAAACGTAACCTTTCTCACAGTTTCCTACTATAGAAAAGAGTTATCTTAAACAATCGGGCATTGGAAAAGCTGTTATGTATTTATATAAACACCCTAAAGAAACCAAACAGAATCGTGATCGCGCAGGTCGTCTCATATCAGAATGGGCTCGACCCATATTTAACCTGAGCTGCGATTTTAAAGCGCTTACAAAGGAAGAACGCCAAGAGCGCGATATGCGCCAAGTGCCAAAGTCGCGTCGCAAGAGTCCTGAACCAGAACCGTCGACATCGAAAAAGAAAAGAGGACTCAATTCTGCTTTCGGCAACACAGAAGAGAAACCTTTACGTCCTGGCGATCCAGGTTGGGTGGCACGAGCCCGCGTCCCTCGGCCATCAAACAAAGATTATCTGATAAGACCGAAATCGAAGATAGATGGCGAAGTTTCCACAACTAACAAACGTAAACCGAATCGATATGAGAAGCATATGAAAAAGTTCCTCGACGCTAAACGTTTGAAATCATCACGCAGAGCTGTAGAAATATCGATTGAGGGTCGTAAAATGGCCTTGTAAAAAATGTGAACTTTATCAGAATAGTTATTGTGCCCCTCTTAAAGAAGATTTTTAACAATTTCTTAATAGATATTTAATTAGTCTTTATTTTAAGCTTTTGTTTTGCGTAAATTGCTTGCGCTATTTGAACAAATATAGTAAGCTAACTAATTAAACATTGCGTCGTTGATTAGATATTGATTAAGTATAGAAATCATTTTGAAATTTGGCCGACTTTGATATAAACTCGGCAGTTTAGATCGTGAGTTGTCGGTTCCTTTTTATCTGGAGTAATTGTAACTGTGTTAACATATGTATATAACATGTTAAAGCCTAAATAGACCTCATCGAAATCCTTTAAATCCGAGTGAGGTATAAAATTCAAGCGCAATAGGACTTTATTCGCCTTACGCCAAACAATGAACCTGTAATTCAAATTATTTCTTTTATTGCCCTAGAATATCGTCATGCTATTATATCACTTACTTAGGTTCCTCCGTTTGCGTTTGTGTTTCTTCATCAAATTCTTTAGAGTCATCACGTAAATTTAACGTAAAGGCTTTATCAAGAGGTAACAATTTACTGTTCACAACTTGTTTAACGGCACGCGGCTCTTCATAGATAAACGAGTGACGAATTAAAGAGGTGCCGCTAAGACTCGAAGGACCAGTTAAACTAGACGAACCTGTTAAAGATTTTAATGAATCCATAGCATTACTAGCTGAGAGTGAAGTATCTTTAATACTGCAAAGCCGTTTAAAATCTTCAGTCACTTTGCTTGATTGGTTATCCGCCAGTGAGGGCAAGTCGACTATTTTAATAACCATGTCATGCATGGTAGGATTGCTTAACTTTAATATAACTGCATTCAATTGTCCCGGTTGCAAAATTTGCTCACATTTAACTAAAAGGACATCAGGAACATGATAACTGGCAAACAATTGTATGCGATATTTAATCGATGTGGGATGGTATTCTGGTTTAATAACATTGTGTTCACACTGACGGCAACGTAAAGAACGTTTAATCCACATACAACGGCGTTGCGGATATAATTTACTAATGTCAAATGGCTGCTCTGATGGCTGATTATGACGTTGCTTTATACTAGTAACTAAAATTAATTTATAAATTTGAAAGAATAATTCAGTAAAAAATCGTATACACCTACTGTTATGCAAGTTAATATTTTCCGTAAAAATTGCATCAGATAATTCACCTACATCATCATATTGTTTCGATGCTGCTATATTAACAGGTTTGGCTTTTTGTGTATTTTTATCGGACCAGCCCATTTGTCGACGTATAATAGACACTGTCAGGCCGGTGCGATCAGTTAAACTTGGAAATTTATGCGACCTGGGAGCTTTGCGTCTCAAATATTCCTGTTTTTCTTGTTTATCTTGCTGTACGACAGCTTGATAGTATTCAGACAGAGCATTAAATCTGGTCTGATAAGCGCATTCATTTTCAGGCCACGCCCCAGTTGCTTTCAATTAAACACAATATCAGTTTAGAAGAATATAACGTGTAAATCTTAAGAATTGGCCTACCTACTACTTGATCGGGTATGCCCACATCACGTGAAGTCCAACGACAAGCTAAACAAGATAAATAGTACATTTTCTTAGTAATCACTTTCGACGACTCTCCTTTTGCACTATCGCTATCGCCTTCCTCCAGTTTCCTTTACAAAGATAACAACAATTAAATAAAAGAAAAACACAACAATATTCCTGCATACTTTGGTACGATAACACTAGTAGCTCTCGGTGAGAGGGTATTTTGACAGCATGGGCAATCAAAACAACTAGCGCAACAATTCTTCTTATGCCTCACCTCTGAAGAGGGTATGTTTTCCAGGCAATTTGAGCAAAAATGTGAATCTACCTGAAACATTCAAACGATACATATGTTAGCATAAAGCGTAGTCCTAATATAGTTTGCTTAGTCACAATTTCTCTTACCTCGTGACATACACAAAAACCACACCTTAGATTAGGACAGTGGCGACAAAAGAATAATCTACTAATAGGATTTAATATACCGCACGAACAGGCATATTTAACCACGGAATCTTGCATAAAATTTGCCATTTAACTTTTTTTTCGTTTTGTTATTCTCTAAATCGATTGTCTAAACAAAATCTCGAAAATTTCGTTTCTACAACGACATTAAATAGAGAGAATTACTTGAATAATTAATTTCTCTCGTTTCAATTTTTAGTTCTTACACGTTTTGTTTCCATTGATTTCACGAATCTTTACACTATTTTATTATCGTCTCATTTGCACAGTTAGCTAGATTCAATATTCGAGTTTCGACTTTTTGCCATATGTTAAGTGGTGCAAAAAACGCTCTCTCAATGCTGTCAAATTAGCTGTAAACAAAATAACTCAGTATGGGTTAATACTGATTGCTTAGAGTTGCATTTATAAAAGAAAACAACTGAACCAAACTAAAAAATTTTAAATGGCCTGAGTGGTATGATTATGAGTTAATTTACATAAATACATAATTTTACGTGTACATATATAAATTATTTTGTTCGTAAAGTTTGGAACAACGTGAACATTTCGATTTCCTTGATCAAGTCAAATTATTTTTATGACTGTGTCGACATATCGCTAGAGGCCTCTCAATTGACGCGAATAAGCGAGGGAATAAGAAGCGGCGTATCTTCTTCACTTTGAAATCGAGTTGTATTAAAATAAGAGATATAAAAAATAAATCAGCTTTAAGATATCTTGTGAAAATTGTAAAGTTAGCCCTTCCTCATATAATACAAAACTAGAATTGCTTTGCAATTCATGTTAAAACATTATACATTCTTTACAGGTTAATGTATAAATATGTATAAGTACTATATAAAATGGGAATAAAAAAAAAATATTAAAATTCAAAGTTTTCCTAAGAAATGATAATACGAAATTATAGGAATTGTATGAAGTTGCATTACTTCGTTTCATCTTTTCAAAATAATTTTACATAATTTTATTATTATTTCCATTTGCATGAGTTTATTATTGATTGTTTTCTTCCACTTCTTTTTAAGTATTCAATAAATCAGCAGATGATGATTTGCCGGATTGAAATAAGAAAGACTTGTTATTAACACGAAGAGCTTTGCATGAGCCTTAATCAAGTAGTTTACTGATTGTATCATTGTAAATAAACAAACGTTAAAGTTACGCCTTATTTTCACCTTAAATTTTGAATGACGAAATCCATACATAAATGACGACTAAATGGCTTTCAATGTACGCCCTCCAAATGAGAGTTAGTTAACTAAGAGATACGTAATCAGTGACCTAATTTGACAGCTTATAGAGAGAGTTCTCCTCGTACCTGTTTTACAAATGCAATCTTCTTAACACCATACATAATCATTGTGTACGTATTTCGCTTTAAATAGAACAATCTGACGCATAAGTGCGTTAAGAAGTGAATTGATATGAAGATTGTCTTAAACTGATAACGTCTCATTTTACCGCCAAGTTGAAAATATACGGCTTTAAGCGTGGTCCAAAACGCTTTAGTTACCAATTTTGAAGAAATTTTGAAGAAATAATAATTTTATGTTATTATTGAGTGCAGAAATTTTGCAAACTTTCGCTAATATACGCATATGATCGCCGAAATTCAAATTGAATATTCCTTATGGCAAGACCCGTTAAATTTTTGTTTACCTTTTTCCCAGTATTTATGTCAGGTAAGAGAAATCAAAATCATCAACTTTACAAGAATGTTACATTAAAAGCCGGTTTATCAAAAGAACGAAAGAACAAGAATTTCATTAAAAAAAAAATTTATTTCAACTTTATTCTTCTTTGAAAAGATTGCAGACAAAATGTGTGATAAAAACTGTGAGAATTTAATAGATTTGAGCTTAGAAGATGAAAAGGGAAATTCAGAGACTCAAAGACTTGTTATTGTTGAGAAGGACGTAGTTGCTGAAGTCAAAGATACCAAGAATCCTTTTGATGTGGTTTTCGCTTCACCACTATCATTTGAAGACGGCCGTCTTGGAAACGATCCATTTGATGATATATTAAGGCAAGCAGACGAACGAAATGATCCTTTTGAAATGCTGGAAAGAGAAGCTCGTCTTAAAGCTAAGCAGTTAATTAAACATCCACCAGTTGAGGGTAATTTAGTATTTTTGGATAATATGTATAGTAAAGTTGATCCTCCGATTAATTCGGAAATAGAAAGTCCTTCAATGGCCTTAAGTGAAATATTGTTTCCTGAGAATGTTGCCTGCGGTTCATCGAGTGTAGATAGTGATTCAGCAACCGGAAGTAGCGCAGAGACATCAGAAAACACTAAATTGAAGAAAACATCAGAGTACCGAAAAAGATTATTGAAATCAACTTTATCAAAGGCCATGTGCAATTCTCCTGTTACTAAGAAATTATCTCTAGATGAACAAGAATTGTTAGGCACACCTACATCTTTTAATTTATCAAAGTCTTCACAATTTGGCGAACCATTACTTTCCGCGGAATCACCTTTAAAATTAATTGACGATGATATCATTTCTGACGAGCCAGGGAAACGCATGAACGCTGAACAATTGTTTGAAGCTGATTTGGAAATGCTGAAAATACCCATACTGGATGAATTGCCATCTTTAGAGAAAGAAAATGTGGATAAGATTGATGATCTTATCGACACAGATATGGTCAATGCTAAAGGATTCAATGGTTTGCCCGACTTGGAGGCGATTAAAGAAAAACTGAAAATTAAACGCGGAGAAAACGTGGCTTGTCAACAAAATATAAACTCTCTAATTTTTGATCTGAAATCCTTAATAATAAACGAAGGCGTAACAGACGAGGACAAAAAACGAAAAGCTGCCGATATTCTAGAAACTTTAAGTTCAGCATTATCGCATTCTCATGAAACAGAAGAGCACAAAGACTCTACAGGAATTGTTGAACCTATAATCTCACCCATGCAACGACAAGGAACCTTTGACATAGAACTACAAAAAAACAGTGAGAAAGATGAGCAACCATTAATTAACGAAATGCATGACTCTATGGTTAGTTGTTCAGCTACATATAACGAAGAAACAAAAGAGGGGCGAGCTGCCTTAAAATTGCCAGAAATTGCGCCACTCTCTCCACCACCTTTGCCTAAAGCTGCATCTACATCAACTCAGTTATCTAAACAAAATGATATAAACGTTAACGACGTCGTAGAACAAATTAGCAAACTTTTGGAACAAAGCAACAACGAAGCAAACTTACAAAATAATCACAATCCCACTTTTATATTGGTCATGAATACACCTCGTGCCCAAAAAGTTGATTCAGCTTCGTCAGAGGGCGCCTCCTTTCGCGATCTTTCACCCGATTGTGTTGTAAATAGCAATGGTCCTCGCAGAAGAGCTCAATCATTATCTTTAAGTGATCAGGTAAAAATTGTAAAATTACCTTTAAAATCGCGTACACCAGATTCTAAGCAATCGGGAGAGCTAGCACCTGTTAATACAACACCTCCTATAAAAGATGAAGAGCTTAAGGGTGTTAAAACGCCTGCCCGGATAATGAGACGTAACTCGTTTTCGAGTAATACTTCTCGTACAACTGATACAGCTTTTTTAAGACCTATACCTAGGTACATTATACTTTATACGCATAACGTTACCTATTTTAAATAAATGAACTTGTTTTTCTTTACAGATCTGATGGCAAATCTAATAATTATGTACGCAGAACTCAACCCCTCGAAACTCATCCGGAAAGCATACAACAGCAACAACAACCTATTGTCAAACCAATTCTAATATCGAAGCATTCAATGCCCAAATTTAAACCAGTATTACGAAAAAGATCGAAATCAAACGCAGAATCCATAATGAAATCTTCAGCACCTCTCAAGGCCACTTTACCGGTAAAAAAAATAGCACCGTTGACAAAACCTAATATAATAATAACGCCCGATCAATCAATAAAATCGCAAATGAGTCAGTCCTCGTTGCGTGCAAACGGCAGCGTGCATCTAACACCAAAACCAATGGGAGCTTCCGTGAGCAGTATCGGACATCCGAAGGCTTCGTCAACACCGACTGTCTTGGTATCACCAATAAAACGTAATGCCAGTGCCACTAAAGTCCGAAATACCCGTCTATCAATTATACCTAATTCTAAAAGTTCAACTTTATCAATAAATTCTGATATGACTGCCTTAAGAAGACGTACTATATCTGAGTTTAAAGCAAAATCTCCTCATAAACCTAAAGTAAGCGGCGCTTCATCCTCATCTTCTCGACCTTCGATGGGGGCTCCACGTTTACCTATAGTCAAGCCGATTAATAAAACAACATCTACCGGAACAATTTCTAAAACGGTAATTTCCGATCATGACTTTTTCAAAAGTGTAAAATGCATACTAATTTTCCCCTACATTTTTTTAGACTAATCGTGCTGGTTCGAGAGCATCTGTGTCTGGTGCTTTGTCTCGTAATAAAGAGAACAAGCGTCCTTAAATATACATATATATAAATATAAAAAATTATTATTATTTTTTTTTTCTTTCATATATTTATTCTTAATTTGCAAAATTACAAAACTTTTTAATACATTTCTAGTTCTTTAATAAAACGAATAAAAGCAAAGTTTAGAATTCAAAAAGAAAATTTTATAATCATAAACTAAGAAAATTATATTCGACTTTGGACGAATGTGGTCATCGGCATTTTATTATTTAATATACGATCGCGAAGTACACTGCATCTTATTTTCATTCCCAGATAGTGTTAAATTAATGCAACGTTTGCAAAGCGAAGATTATATGTAAAACTCGTTCAAAATTTTTGCACACTACACTACACTACACTACATTACCTGTTTGCGCGGATTTATGCAATCCCCAGAATTATCGTTTATTACATTGATCAATTCCGAATCGCTTTCTAACTTGGTTTCTGAATCGATTTATAGTTGTCTGTCCGTCTATATGGCTTGTTTTCTTGTATTCAACCTACAGGTCGCAATTTTAATGCCATTTCGTACATTGACTCGTTTTGAACTCGTAAGAACGAAGGCTACAGACCACAGTTTCGACCATTTGCCATAAAATGCCTCATTTTGAAAAGTGGATACGTGAATGCCTATGCGACGGTACGGTAAGGTACGTAATGATGGGCCGTTGTTCATTATAGTATTTTTATTTGTTCTTTGTTGTCGTTGTGAGGAGGCGTTCGAAATCAAGGCATCGATTGTCTTATAAATATCAAGAAGAAAAAGAATTCACCAATTTTGCATTGAATGGAACGGAACGGCTCTAGCAAATATTTGCGTCAAATTTTGGATCAACATTTGCAATTATTTTTAAATGGGATTTCCTACTTATATATATATAATTCCATGGTTTGTATTTTGCTCTTGATATATAAATTGATTTACAAGTGAAATGCATGCTTTGCTTTGCGTATTAGAATTATATATAATATCCGTTTAATAAACATTGGGTGTGCATTGTAAGTATTTGGATTACACGATGACTCAATTTTTTTATATACCAGGGTACAGGGTATATTAAATTTTTGTATGACTTGACGTAGAACTTGAGATAGCCCCAACTTTTTATCATACCGATTGATTCAGAATTACTTTCCGAGTCGATTCAAGCAAGTCTGCTCGTCTCACTTTCTTTTATGCAACCTACAGGTTGCGAGTTTTAAGATAATTTGATGAAATTTAATGCACTCATGTACGTTGGTCCAAGGTCGAACTTTGTTGGATATGCTTAGGATCGGATCACTTTTTCGACCACATCTCATTATGTGAATAACTAACTGTACAGCATTGCAGGGTTTTTAATGGTGGGCCATGACTCTCTATAGTGTTGTTGCTCGTTTAGATTTATTAACGTATATATTATCCAGTGGATATATAAGCTTATCATCGTCGATGCAAAATTGAACCTAATCTAAAAACAGTTAGTTATTTAAGAAAACGAGTTTTTCTTTTAAATATATAAACTTGAGACAAAGAAGTTTATAATGAATGACAGATTAACGTATATGTTATTCGTTATATTACATATTGTTAGCTGCCATTTAACAATTCTTTCGGCGAATCTTAATCAATTTCTTGATCTTTGAATCACCATCGTCATCCTTAGATTTTTTAAAAATGGTTGAACTCTTAAGTTTTCAACTTTCGGATTTTTCCATTAAAGGGTTTCATACACATTTCCACTTAATTAGCTCAATTGTTCCATATATTTTTCCATAGGTAAATGGTGTAATAATAGATTAATAAGGGATCGAGAGCACGCATATCTTGGGTAGTGTCCAATATGGGTCCTACCTAAATGGCGGGTCTTAAAAAGAGAAGAAAACAGATGATAGGCAGTTGAATATAATCTATTTATTGTTGGTAATTATGTAAGGATCGATGAAATAATCCGAATCAATCGTTACACAAAATCACGATTCAGTATCACAAAAATGATTGGGTTGCTTGTGTAGCTCGCTTCAGTTTAGCCAAAAAAGTGACAATTTGACCGACGCGTATAAAATAAAGTAAGAATATTCTTGTGGCTTTTTACATAAGAGGGTATTCAGAAAAAGAACGCCAACCGAATTCAATTTTTCATAATAATTGAGAAATACTGTTACTCAGCGTCTTTTGTGGAGAAATTTTGAAAATTGCAACTTTTCCCCATATACCGCCTTTCCAATATAAGGTGTATATGACACTTTAGTAGGGGAGTAGTCGACAAACTGGGCCGGTCCGAACCATTTTGAATAGCTTTCTTTCTTGAATCAAAGAAGGCCAGTCTACCAAATTTCATTAAAATATTTCAAAATTGCCGACCTGTAGGTTGAAGTCAAAAATGAATGGAGGGAAAACGATCCTGAACTAATCGGTGTAATAATAAGTGAGTCTATCTATTAAGCCTTTCCGGATGTTACAAGTGATGTAGAGCATAATAAAGTAAACAAATTCAGTTTTATGCAAAAATTGCTATGACCTCTAATAGCGGAGGTAAAAACGTGGATAAATAGAAACGATTAATTATTGCTTTATTCACATTAGATTGCCGGACGTTTGGCATATTGTATTTGACTCAAACATCAAAATGGAAGATTGAAAAGAAAATAAAAGTTTATTTTAAATCAACTTTATTCAAAATGGTTTTCACACATATGTGCATGTATGTATGTGTTTCTAAAATAAAATTTCCGCAGACTCTTTCATTACATTTAGCGCAGACGGCAGAGCGCAGGGAAGAAACTAGTACACGAAAACTTTTTTACACGGTTTTTTTATTCGATTTAAAAAAAAAAACACGGTTTACCAATAAGGAAAAAATACACGAATTTATACATGAATTTTCTGCTCTAGCGCGAATCCAACAAAATAAAATTTTTGATTTTAATGCTAATTTTTCGACTTTGTTAATAACTTAGTGGCCTGCTAAGAGGAGTATCCGAATTTTAAGATCGAATTTTTTGATGATGATCTTTTACTACAGCCCGTAATAAACGTGCACGGTTATTATTAAGTGGCGGTGAATAGTTGCGAAATTGATTTTTATTACCAATTTGAAAGCATACTTTTAAGTGTTATGTATGGTTGCTTTTTTTGCACGACATTTTGTCAAAATATTCGAAATTTTTTCATATTTTATTCGATCTTTTTGAAGTTGTGATATACATTCCCAAATTTACTATATATCGCATATATATTTGCACACGATATTTTTTTACACGGTTTTCCAAACAATGCATCTATCGTGTAAAAAAAGAATTAAGTGCACTTGTATGCATTTTATTATGTATATTATATAAAATTTTTTCAAATATATCCCAATAAAATCGTAAATGAATCAAATTGACTCGTTACGGCAATCTGGTGTTAATCACAAAGTTGCCAAATTATTTGCAAAGACTTATAAGTTATTGATATATAAAAGTGGCATTCACTGTCATATTAACGAGAAGCTAACGAGAAGACAATTTAGTAGTATAATATACCGTTATAAACAATGGCTGATATCGAAAGTGAAGAGGTTAAAAACCTTGTAAGTGTATCCGTAGAAAAAGAAAAAATGCTCGCAATCATATAAAATTTTCATCAAAAATTATATGGAAAATTTGATTTTCCTTTTGTGAATGGGAAATGTGAAAAGACAATAAAGTGATTTATAGAATAAAAGGCCAAAAAAGTATTTCTCAAGTACTTGTTAATTATGATTCAAGTGGTTGCAAATCCAAATGAAGGCTATATTCATATTGAAACGAACGCTAAATACCCGTCACCGTAACGAACATAACGTATATATTATTCATAATTAATGATATAATCAATTAACTATGGGAAAAACCACTACGAGATTCGAAATATAAATTTGAAGTTTAAAGATTGAATTTGAAGTTTTGTGATTTTAAAAATTCCAATAGAAGAAAATTTAATAGAGATAGATAGATAAGTAAGCATTATATTCGCCTATAATTTCATAATCGACTTGAAACATATATAATATATACGATGGTTTTCATATTCATATATAATGTCAATAATATTTGGAGTTGTTACGAATCGCACGCTAAATTTAATAGACCTTTTCTATTGGTAATGACGGTGTAAAAATCAATACTAAGATTTTAAAGCAAGTTGAAAGCGAAAGTAAACTAAACTAATCGTCAAATATAATCAAAAATTTAAATGCATTTTGAAATTAATAAATTTTGTTAATAAATAATAAAGTTTTTTTTTTTTTTTTCTTTTTTAATATTAATAAAAAATTCATTTGTCTTATTTAGCAAATCGAATTCGAATGGTTGATGAAGGCCGAAGTTCATGCTATATTAAAAAAACTACGTGAACTATTAATTGTAAGTTTTGATGATAATTTTATATTAAAATCGTTTGTTTCTCATTGAAATGCGAATTTCGTAAGGAATGCGCCATCCGTTTTCCCGTACCATTGTATGATAACGAAGGTAAACGCACTGAAAAATATCATTTGGTCGCATCACAAGATCAACTTAAATGTTCGGTAACATTAACGGGTGATAGTATTACACAAGCGGTAAGTAAAATTGTGCACCAGTGCACTCATGTATTGAACAACAAGTGTCGTCTCGCTTTCGTTCAAGGATATTAGTTACAAAATCAAGCGTACATCAAATCAAATTCAACGTACGTGCATTACGTCCGATGCCCCCTGGAAATTACAACAAGTACAAGATGCGGCTAATCACTTGCAACAGGCGAAAAATCATATCGATAATATTGATGAGAATTATAATTTTCGGTAGGTATTCCGTTAAAATAAATAAAAAAAATTAGAGCACAAACACACACACACACACACACACACACACACACACAAACTTAATCTGCTATCGAGTGTTATATGATATTCCCTAACACATCATCGAGGAGTACATTCGTATAGTCGTACTGGGCAGATATATATATATATATATATATATATGTATATAAAACAATGTACCCCTGCATCCATGTTAGTCATTTGGCCGTTAGAAGAATGGAGAAATGGCATTTGAATTGTGATATGCGTTTTTTTCATTTTTGCTAAGATTACAATCTTAGATTAGTTTAGCGAAATGTCCATCTAGAAGAGGCGAAAATTTCGCTTTAAGATTTATAAAAAATATTTGGTCTGAAATTAAGTGAAAACATTTATGATCGAATCTTTTACATCCATCGCAATTACCAAAGTAATAAAGACAAACAAAGTATGGGGGAAAAATTACATTTTTATATTTTATATTAACGGATAGGCGTGGCCAAAAATTTTTCCAAATTTTTGGGGAATAAAACTGGAAATTTATATCGTATGTGCCTATGGTTGCTTATGAGGGATGAGCGGAAATGCGGAAAACAAACATATTCTCATTTTATGTTATATGGTTGTGTGTGTCCTTTGGCCTGTTTGCGTCATTTTCAAGTTCTTTTGGCAAATCGTTGTTTTCATTTTTCCCACAGATACTATATAGTTCGAAAGGCGAATGTATTTGGGTGTGTGAGGTCTACTTCGGAGAGTATTGTCCCGTTTTAGAATACAACAAAATACAAATCATCATATATGCTACGAAATTGGTTTGCTGAGCTGAATTCAGCTTTTCTGTGATAGTCGATAGTGTTGTCAGCAAAGGGTCTTGCTTAACAATATCGTCATCGAGAATAGAAATCGCTTATCACGAAGATCGAAATCATTCGTTTCAAATTTTTCGAATCATCTTGTCTGCATGTCCTATCAGTAACTGTACCATCACCGAATACTTTCAATAAATATGTACTTGTGTCTGTGGCATTTCCTTTTTGTTGCAGTTCGTAGAAAATACAGTAAAACAAACAAAACAAATTTTTATATACTATAATATTGGATAAACATTGGCGATTTTTTCAATATTTGTACAGATACTACAGCATCGCCCAGAGAATGTGCATTTCAATTTTCATAAGCTTATCTGCTGTAGTTTACGAGTTATGAATAAAAAATTTAAATTTTTTCTTTTCGGAAAATTGGGACTATTTTCATTTTATGTGATACTGTAGTCGTGTCCTTTGATCAATTTGGCCCGTTCTCAATAATAATCTGGGTGCAAGAACTTTCAATGTTTCTGCTAAATTTGAAGTCATTTTTGCGGCCAGAAGTATGCTTACAACATACATTATACAGTTGGACTGACGGACATATTTCAAAATTTGATGCTTATCAAAAATATATATACTTTATGGGACTCTCGATTTCGATACGAGTTAAAGCCACTGTGATTTTTTTCGCGTTTTTTTTTGTATTTGTTTTTGTTGCCTTAAGTGGTGCTCCTTTAAATATTCAAGAGTAATATATGAAACGGGTTGGGACAATGTTAATCATTACGGATCTTGGTATTATGAATAATTGAAATTTTTAACGAATGCGACGAGACCTTATTTTATGAAAAAGCTATTCTATTAGGTGCTTTTATGTATTTTCATCATCATGATATTGGTTTGGCAGTATCGGCCAATTATCGGCCCATTTTCGCACTTCTTTAACATTATCGAAACCGGATGCCAGCCAATCGTATCGTTCTGAACAAGTGCTAATCAGAAGGCGCTACGTTTTGTGTGTACGCTTGTTGCGGCGGGAACTGCCCATTCGAGTTGCGGCAGTATACCCGTGATAACTCTTGGTACGTATGGCCGAGCGTTGTCATGCAAGAGGATGACTTTGCGTTTGGGAATCACTATTGTTGGTCGGTCTTTTTTTGCAATAATATATCGTTCAATTTGTTCAGTTGAGATCGGTAGACATCTGCAGTAACAATTTGATTACTGATCCCACCATAGGCACAGTAAAACTCTATGGCCATGAATATGCCGCTTCGGTGTCGAAGTGGATGCCTCTCCTGGACTAAGGCGTTACTTTTTGCGCTTTCGATGATTGGCGTAGTAGAGTCACTTTTCATCACTACAGAAAACTCTTCGTTTTTTCACTTAGCAAGCGGTTCATGCAATAACATTTTCAGTCAATTCCTACGGTAGCCATTTTCCTTCCTTTTCGATCTTTCCTGCTAAGTTGTTGAAGAGCTTTTTCAAACTTTAAGGTAGATTTTCGTCCAATAAGTTTTGCAGTTCATTGTCTTCGAACTTTTTTTGGTTCTCCAGGCCGTTCCTTTTCGTTGACATCAAAATCATCACTTTTAAATCATTCACTTCGGCAGCAGATTTCTTCAAATCAAGCAACACAAGTCGCATGAATGTCGAAAATGTAATTTTGAACTTTTCATCATTTATATGTGCATACAATGAATGCACAGATAAATCAATAATAGCGAAATAGAAAACTGTTATTGCGGGTAGAGAAAGATCAAAATCATTGAATTTAATCGTTATGTACATTGATACTTTGCTTGATACTTGTATCATTTTCATCAATCCTCGATGATCAAAATATAAGCAAGTATTTAATAATTAGAATCAAATTTATTGATGCATTAGTTTATCAGTTAGGTTAGTGTATCAAATATTTATGTGTATAAATTTTTGCATTAGGTCAGCAGAAGAAGTCTTGCAAATTATTGGAGAGCTTGTCGCGGCTCTGCAACGAGGGCGTTCCAGCCTTTTAATACCGAAGAAACGGTCAATAGAAGAACTTATGAAAGGCAGGAATATGGTAAACGTGTTTGAAATTCTCAACAAGAAAGTGAAATCAAAATAAATAAAATTTTTTTTGCAGAAATCTCTTTCCCCCAATTTACCAGATGATCAGGCAATATCGTTCTTTTTGCAATGCCATAAGCTTGTCATAGCAGTCTATCAATTGCTGAATGTTCAAGGAACAGTCAAAATGGAAGCGACACAAGCTGAATGTTCGGTAGGTTGGCTAAATGAAGTCTTAGTACTATTCACTGTCGCCCTGACACTCTGCCAGCAATTAAAGGATAAAATTAATGCATTTAAAACAGATGTTCTAAGTTAGTAGATTAGAAATAAATATGTATAAAGCGTGGTTTGTGGTTTTTTTTTTTTTGTTGTGGTTTTGTTGAATTGTTTATCTAAATAAAAGAATAAATAAAATGAATATTAGATAATAAATAAATCTTATTGCACTTGAAAATGCAAACATTACATGCAAAAAATATATTATATAATATAAAATAAATGGCAACGGAATGTATAATAATTAAATGTTAACTGACAATAATTATAGAAAACACAAACAAACAAACAAAAAAAAAAAAAAAAAAAAAAAATTACAAAAAGGAAAGAGAAAAAAATCTGTTTAAAGTCTATATATATATATATATATATATATATATATATATATGTAAAACAAAGGGCTTTAACACGATATACCTTATAAAATTAATGTAATATGATTTAAATGAAATGAATTTAATTGAATAGCAATAGTAATTAATTATTGATGAAATTTACGATATTACAATTTCACTAGTTATACATTATGGTTATCTATCTATATACGATTTGATTTCATAACAAATTGAAACAATAACAACAAATGTTTACATTAATTAATTAATTCGTTGATTTTTATCATTAATTGTTTTTATATATGTATGCATGTATGTATGTATTTA